GACTAGAAGGAATATAAGAGATAAAAGAAAGAAAGCTAAATAAAACAAAATAAAAAAACAAGAGTTTATGAGAATAAAGGTAAAAATAAAAACAAAACTATAAGAGAAATTATTTATTTGAGCTGTGTGCTGGTTGTACAGGTTTATTCTATTTGTGAAAATGATATAGCAATACATGCTGTGTACTTCTTGTATTTATACTATAGTAAAAATTTTAAAACAATGAAATAGAAAGAGATAAAAGTGACTCAAGAGAAAGTTGACTTCAATACTTCATGGTAGAAGACCATGATATGCATCCATATTCTAGTGAAACTTTTCTCATGTCTTCAAAGACTTTCTAAGTCCAATGGACACTTTAACTCTGTGAGATTTCTAACACTATTGATCACTCATTCATTCTGTGCTAGCTCACTCTTTTGTTTTCCTCCTACCCCTCCCAGCCATGCCTTATTAATCTTCTTTGTGGTTTTATTTCCACTGCCAGCTTCTCAAATATTGGTGTTCCTGGGATCCACACTTAGCTATTTTCTATCTTTACTCATATTCTCCTAGGCAATGATATCATGCCTGAAGATTTCACCTTCCACACATATATATGGTTAATTGTCAAATCTACATTTGTTCTTTATATGTTTCTACTAAAAAATAACCCTTTATATCCAACCATTCAGGATGTATCTCCATTGAATATCTAATGGTTCCCCTCCCTGGCACACTTGCTCCCTAGCTAGCCCTCTTGACCTTTAAGAAGGTAAGCAGTCTTATTCTCATATTTGATAAATAATTTTAGTTTTCTCTATCTACCACCCTAAGAAAAATCTTCTTTCTACACTCCTATACTTTTTATACCTTTCCTATATTTTCCCTTAACTATTCTATTTCTTGAGTAAATAGACAATATTACTGCCTTTATTTTGTCACTATTTGGTCACTTCTTAATCTCCTATCTTATTACTCATTCCTTTTCCAAAACTGCGCTGTGTGTAGCATTGATGATGCTGACTATCATTTTAAAACATTTTTTTCCTTTTATAAGTGTAACTCTGAATTTGCTTTAACCTGATTTGCCTTATATCAGATTGTCTGTTTTTCTGTTTATATTAGATATTCTACTGGCATCTAAATAATGGCATTTTCTAAATTATTTTGGTAAAATGAGAGAGAGAAGGAAGGAAAGGGAGAGAAAGAATAAGACAGATGGGGTGGGGCAGACTCCTTCAGAGGAGACCATCACTCTCTCCCTCCCAACCTCCCCAACCCCATTCAATAATCCAATCAATTCTGATAATACTGTGGCCCAACTCCAGGCTCAATCTTTCAAATAACTTTAAATGGAAATAAAAACATTAAAACTAAGAAATACTAAGCATTTGTTAAGTTCTCACAAAAACCTATTCTGTTTCCATAGCTCACTCTTGCTGTTAAGGACTTAGCATTTTTTCCCAATCAGCAAGAAATAAAATTGGAATTGTCTTTTAATTCCCTTTTATCTTCGACATCTGAGAAAATGCTAAGTTATATAAACTGTCCTGCTGAGCAGCTTCTCACTTCAGTTCCACACTTCCTTTTCTTTGCTATTTCAACAACAGTGTTAAATATCTGCATGCTCTCTCATAGAGACTCTTGTAATAGCCTACTTGAATTTCTTTCTGCCTTTCATCTCTCCCTGCTTGAACCAATCCTAAATATTACTAATGTCTTGCCAATCAAATACACTGCTGAAACCTCCTTCATGGTCTCCATATTGTCTTTAGAAATAACACAGAATGCAATGACTAGTATCAGAATCCTCTACCAATTTGTCCCAGATTTATCTCCTGCTGTTCTCTAACCAACTACACAAACATCTGCAAACCTAGCGTATATATGCCTGCCTCTGAGCTTTAATGAAGATAGTCTCCTTGCCTATAATGATTTGTAACTTTCATTCCCTCATGTAAAATTGCCTCAAGACTTCAAATGGTGTTTTGGAAATAAATCCCTTACTGCTCTTGTTATCATATGGGCACAAGTTCTTCTTATGACATATATAAAATTTTTTCAAGCTATAATATGTCATATTTGATATTTAGACAATAATGTGAGATATTATTTTAATCATTAAACTATTTGACTTTGACTGAAATAATATTCATATTCAAAGATTTTAACATGACAAATATTTCAATCATGTTTAATACTTAGATAATTATGTGAGACAAAAATATTCAATATTGTGCATATGAAGCTGAATTACATAAAGTTCCAGTTCTGCCAATGATAATGCATCTTGTATTAGACTAACTCTTGCACAGACAATAATAATAACTAAGTTAATTATATATACATATATATTTTTTCAAAAAACCCCAACTATTTGAAGGCATTGGAGATCAATTAAGAGTAGACAAAGACCAGAGAATTTTTCATTTGAGGAAGTTCCCTAATTCATGTGGAGAAGAATAACTAGAACTTGAGCAGAATGCAAGAGACTTATTAGCATGGATTAGCATGGAAAGTCATAAAGCAAAGATTTAAAGTATCAGATCAGCTGAAAAGTAAAGGTGGATATCTATAAACTAAAGTATGCACCTAGAAGTCTGCATATAAATCATCCCTCAAATCTCTGGCTGACAGCTAAACTGTGTGTGCACGTAGACCATAAAAAGCAATGACTGGTAAGTTAAAAATGCTGACTGCTGCTCATTGCAAGGGAGTTTTGAGTTTGAGTCTAGCCAAATAAACTACCTTCTAGTACAAAAATCAACCCTCTTAAAAAGATAATGGAATCCAGAATCTTAAAAATATATAATCTATAATGTACAGTATACAACAAAAAATACTAGACATGCTAAGAAGCAACAATATATGATTCATAGTCAAGAGAAAAAGCATTCAAGGCAAACTGACCTGAAGATGACCAAGATGTTAGAAATAGTATGTAAAGACTTTAAGAGAACTATTTAAAATATGTTCAAAGACTTAAGGGAAAATATAGTCATAATAAATAAAAATATAAGGGGAACACAGTATAGAAATGGAAACTATAAAAAAGGAAAGTTCTAGAACTAAAAGTACAATACATGTATAGAACATTAATGAGGTGAGCTGAATAAACATATGGAAGATGTCAGGAGAAAGAGTTAGTGAATTTGAAAATAAATCAATGGAATTTATCCAATATGAAAAGCAGAGGAAAAAAAGATTGAATAAAAATGAATTGTGTCTTAGAGACCTTAAGGACAATGCCTAGAATTCTTAACAGTCTAACAAATATATATTTTGGAATCCCTGAAAGAGAGCAGTGAGTGAATGAAACAGAAATATTATTTGAAGAAATAATGGCCAAAAATTTGACAGATGTAAAACATAAAATCATGTATCCAAGAATCTCAGTATCCTAAAAATATAGATACCAATTTCCCCCACCTCTCCTTCACATACATGGCACATTATATAAAAACTGTTGAAAAACAATGATAAGGATAAAATGGTTGAAAAGGATAAAACTGTTGAAAAACAATGATAAGGATAAATTCTTTTATCTTAAAAGATAAAAGAATTACAAAAGGGAAACATCAATATGAATGAAACATTAAATTAGAAAAAGTTTAAATGATAATAAAGCATTCTTGAAATGCTATTAATAAAATGAAAAAACCCTACTAACCCTCAATTCTTTATCCAGGGAAAATATCTTTTTAAAGTAATGATGAAATAAAAGCAGTTTAAGATAAATGAAAACTAAGAAAATTTTTTTTGCTAGCAGATCTGTATCACAAGATGTGTACATTCTGACTGTACATATGTATACATTGTATGCTCATATACATGTATATATTCTGACTTTGCACTGGCCTGATTTGTCTTCTATAACTCTGTCTAAAGTTCTGTTTATATCATCTGTATTATTTCTTTAAAACGATTCAATGATTACTCTATGATGTATTTGTGTATGCCACTTAACTTTAATCTACAACTGGGGTGGTTAGTTGATATATAAAATATACTAATCATATATCCTCCCTATGAGTGTAGTTAGCAGGTAAAGAATTTCAGTCAAGGGCATCATTCAAACACAGCTATTAATCACTTCAAATATATTTGTTACCTATATGTTAACTAGTTTAAGAAACATAATATTAAACATAATATTTTAGTAGTGAAATCTTTGTATGTGGTAGCTAGAAATATTTCATAGTCATTCTTGCCCTTTCATAAATGAAGTATAAGAACCGCAAGTCTAGCTGCTAAACTACAAAAACTAGACCTCTATTTTATGTGCTCCATCTTAATGTAGAATTCTTCTTTTCAATCTAAATAAAAAGTAACAGATTCTGATGTCAGAATATTTTTTCATATGCTTCAGGGTAAAACTGTGATGCAAAGTGCTTTAAAATGTATGCAAAATAAATGAGAGTTGCAGGGTGAAAAAATAATTCACCTAGCTTGTAAAAATACATGTCCTATGACTGACCTTTGAGTCTGCTTGGTAGTAAACATTGTAAGTGTGGAAGTATTCAGGTGGGATTTGTTTTCATGTATTCTATCACCTAGTTGCACAGGCTTAAGGGAAGAGATGTATAGCTCTTACCAAGTAATATTCATCTTAAGTCAGTTTGAAATCTTCCCTCCTTCTACCCTCCCTACCTCACCTGGCTGGAAGAAAGTAACTACAAAATCAAAGTCTTCGCATATCCTTAGTAAAAATACTATACATAGTATTGTATTTATATAAATGATAAATACATATGTATATATTCACATATATATTTCAGTTTGGTGGTTAAATTATTACTATAACACAATAGAGAACACAGTTTGATATGTTTAAGTGGGCAAATTAAGCAAATAAAATTGTTCAGTGAATGAGTACATAGAGAATTAATCGGTTCACAGATTTTACAGCTAAAAAGGATTTTAAAAGCCCAGAGAGTTCACTTCTCTGTCTCTTTCTTTTAGAACATAGTTGTTTTAAGCATTACTTTTATTGATAGCAATGAATGAAATTATCTTACCTCCAAATGATATCCAACTCTGATGAAGGCACAAATTGGGTCAAAAGCTCCAGTACCACAGGTCAAAAGGTGTGTCCTGTTATAGTGATGCAAAACCCGAACATAATTTGCACATTCACTCTAAAGCAGGAAAAAGAGAAGAAATTTATTTGTATAATAAAAATATTAAATCCTTTTTTGATTTTTGTTTTTCCTAACCCTAGAAATCTCATGTTTTACCATAAATCTCCCTTGGGTAGAGGAAGCAATGAGGACAGATGAAAAGAAGGCATGCTGGGGAAGAAGAAATTGGGGTGGACAAAGCACATGTTAGCTAGCAGTGATGTGTGAATTACATTTTATAATGGAATGTATCATGTTTTTAATATATTCTAATTCACAATTGAGGAATAAAAAAAGCGCCATTCAGAAATTTGTCGAGTATAAAGATTTGCATAGCAATATGTTCCACTAAGTAATCAAGTTATTCTGAATGCTGTTATTTTTTAAGTACAGTAAGTATAAACAATGAATTAGCATAAAGTCAGAAAACCAAAAATTAAAAAAAGGTTCATTATTCATAAGAAAACATGCACAGACTTTATGTCATTACAGAACTTTTATACTTGGAAAAGTAAGTCTTATATCCTCAGACTCACAAATTTACATAAAGCACTTTCAGAGAGAATTTTCAAGTAACTATATAGGAAGCTAACCAATAAGAACATTATGTTATAAGATTACTATTACTGTAAGAAAGTAGTAATAATCCATGTATCAGCAAGATTTTTATGTAAAGGACCAGAATGTGTAAATATATTTAGTTTGATGGCTTGTCTAGTCTTTGCAACTATTCACCTCTGTAGCTATAGCATGAAAGCTGCCATATGTAATAAAAAAATGATTTTGTGTGATTGTGTTCCAATAAAACTTTTTTACTAGGAGCTCCAGTTTGCCAACACTAATATTCAACTAGAAGCTTCTTGAGGACAGAATCTTTATGTTCCCCAGTTAATCAAACACAGAAGCTCATATATACTACATGCTTAACAAAGTTCTAATACATTAGTCCAGGCGTCCTCAAACAATAGCCCACCGGCCACATGCGGCCCGCCGAAGACATATATCCAACCCACTGGGTGTTTTTGCTGCTGCTGCCTGTCCTGCTTAGCAGCTGACTTGTCCCAGGCCCACTGTGCGCATGTGTGGAATGTGCACCACACTCTCCAACAGTCCTCCAATGGTCTGAGGGACAGTGAACTGGTCCCTTGTTTAAGAAGTTTGAGGACCCCTGCATTAGTCAGTTAGGTGAGTTTTACGATCAGTATGTTGAATGAAAACAAAATGTTTGCAATTGTTTTTAAACCAGCTTGACTAAATTAATTCTAGCAAATGCCTTCTTAGTGAATTAGGTGTTGCTGTTTATTAATAATTAAAAGTAAATTATAAAAGAAATACTAAATTCTTTTAATATTAAATATCACTTTATAATCAATACATGCAATAATCAGTAAATTAGTATCTCTGAACTTTTACTTTTTGCTAACTCTTATTTTTTTTTTCATCTTTTTGATGGCTCACCTCAACTCTTGGCCTGTCAGAGGCCAGTCACAGTAAACATAATGTTTTATAAGAACAGATTGTGGCTTCAACTCTTTAAAGTCTGTCATACAACAATCTTAGCAGGAAATGGCCAGCAAAATCACTTCAATATAAGTGATTCAGAGAATAGCATGCTCTGGGCAAGAACAAGGTATGTAATACTGAACTGATTATCCAGGGCACACAGATATATTTATTTCTTCAATTTCCCACTCACATAACATTTTATTCTGTTTGTGACCTATATAGCTGATAGAATCTGATCATTCAGGCATAGTAAGAATATCTGTTCTTGAATTGCTGTAAGCAACTGCTTTTCCTCTCTTGACACACTGTCACATCTTGGAATGAGCCAATTAGAAAACATTTTGGCTCAGTTGAGCTTAGATTGACATGGACTAAGATTATGTTCAATTAATCAGCATCACGCTATGGGCTAAGGCAGCAAGAACGTGTTGACTCACTTTTTGGCTGGGACCCAGTTGCTACAGAGAATCAGGAGTTGGTAGAATGTGGGTTAGTCTTTTACATGGTATTTTTTTCCTTTCCATATGGTAGAATGTGGGTTAGTCTTTTATATGGTATTTTTTGAAAGTGACAAGTTCACTTTCAAAGGCAGATATGCAGGTCTTCCTCCATGATGTGTACCCTGTCATCGGATCAGCCAACTACTCCTAGCGTGTGGAAGTCTATCACTGATGTTGTCATGTGTTAGGGACTGTGTCGGGATACTGCTGATCCACCCACACACTGCAGGGAAACAATGGAGAAATGGAATATTGCTTCTTTAAGTACGAGGGACCATAAAAACATTTTGGAATAGGTAAAACATGTTTATTCCCTCTCTAAAACATTTTGTTCTCTTTCCTTCTGTTCATTTATTTCTAATTTGCTAATCAAAGTGATGTGAAATCCCACAAAGAATGTGCTTAACTTTTCCTAGAATTAAAAATTAAAAAAACTTAACCACAACTATTTTTCTCCCAAATACACAGGAACAAGCATTAGTATAAGGAATTTATAAACCCAAGTTGATTAAAATATAATATTTAATATAAAAATCCAAGATCTGCATGTCACCTTGGCTTCTTTCACCTCTACATTGAAATTAATTATATATAATTATATACATTTTTCCTACATGAATCAAATTACATATATGCTTTTTTAAGAGCAAATAAAAGTTTAGTGATTCAGTCCTTTGTGGTTAACCAGGGATATAACTGATGTTTTGTTTAATTTACAATGAATAATACTTACTGCATCTTTTCCTTTCATTATGCATTCTTCTATTTTTAGAGCTGTACTAGGCCAGTGTATCTGAAATAAAAGATAATGTCCTATTATGGCAATTGCATATAAAAGTAAACCACAGTAGAAAACCATTTCATTTTCTTCTATTCAATACATTTCCATTTTTTCCATTTTCTAAGATAAGATTTTATCATCTTCACATAAGTTTTTTAATTATGCAAATAATTATCTCTGAACTTTTATTTTTTGCTAAATCTTATTTTTTTTTCATCTTTTTGAAGGTTCACCTCAAGTCTTGGCCCTTTAGAGGCCAGTCACATCTTAACCAGCCCTTCCTCATATTTAACCTGGTTGTTTGCCCCTCCAATCCAGGCACCTCCTTGAGTTTCCTTTGCATTTTTACCACTTAGCACAGAACCTGGTGTGTGATGGGCTCCCAGTAACGTTTGCTGTATATGAGGATTAAAGAATAAATGACTTTTGAAATAGTGATTTATAATGCATCACCCAATAATACACTACACTATATCTTCGGTTATTTTTTAAAACATTTTTTTAACTCTACCAGTTTCCAACTGGATTTCAGAAAGTTTTCATTATATTTTATGTTTGTTGATTTTTTTCCTTGAAGAGAGAGAATATATCAAATGTTTCTTTTTCATCTCCAGTAGTACCTAGCACTTTGCTGAGAACACAGAAATCAATAAATACTTATTATGAACTGGCCCCATATATTTCTAACTGTGAAATTTATTTATGAAATAAATTGTGCTCTTTATCATTTTCTTTTCTCTGACTCCCTTTGTTTCTATTTTTCTTTAAACTATAGAATTGATCATACCATATGTCAGGCTTGTGCTAAGAACTTTATAGTTTCTTTTTACTTTTTTTTTAAGTGACGTGGTTTCAGTTTGTTATACTGATCAATGATTCATTATCACCATTAGATTTAAAAAGTCCCTCTGTTTTAATTATTTCCTCCCTCCTATTCTATTTCTATCTCCCCAGAACGCAAATATTATATCCTGTTATTAGGTACTTTATTTGCTATTATATATTCTTACAAAGTATATGCTATAGCTTTTTGTGTATATTTCTAATTTAATGTATATATTTCTAATTTAAAGTACTATTCTAGTCTAATATAAATATACTATTCTAATATAAATGGAATTATAGCTCATTTCTTTATTATTTTTTAACTAAGAACTAGATTTGTAAGATTCCTCCATAGTCCTATGTACACATGTAGTCTGCTCTCTCTAAGTGCTCTGTAATGCTCACGATATGGGTCCCCTACATTTTCTCATCTACTCTCCCAGTTACGATACCCAGATTACCTCTAAGTATCTACCACACCAAACATTGTTACCTCTTCTCTCTGCACATGCCCTTTTGGCATCTGTGTAAGAATATCATATATATATAACCAAGAGCAGAGTTGCTGGGTCTTAGGGTAAGTGTATATTAAATATATAAGTGTAGTGTCAGATTGCTCTACAGAATGGTAGTTTGTCTATGCCAGCACTCCTATATCCTCATATCCTCACTTGGCATCATCAACTTTTCTAATTTTGGGGCTGAGTACTTTAAATAGAGTATCTAATTTAATCCTTACCACAATTTTATCAAGGAGCTGATATTATCCAGAAACTTATTTTTGACAATACATGTCTCTCTGTGCAAACCCACTAAGCAATAGATCTATGGAAACCAAGGAATGTGATCCATTTCAGTAACTACAGCAACAGGTAAGCTCCCTAATGTTCCCGGTACCTCAAGAACTTAAGTCTCCTAGCTAATATGGTTTATTCCCGCATCTGCTGGATCAATTACCCTCTCCCACCAAACTGAAAAACCAAGTCAGCCCTTTCTTAGGTCAGAATTCCATGGGAGCACCATCTCATACTAACATGTCAATTTCATGGGCTCTGCTGGTCAGATGATGATAGATTTTATCTTTGAGGGGTTGTTGGTGGTTCTCACCTAAATACCCTATAGTTTTTATTCTGTTGCCTCTATTGAAGCAGGGTACCTCAGAATTTTTTTTATTCCCTTCCATTTTGTGGAAAATCATTTTCTTTTGTCAAGTTAACATTTTGATGAAGGAGTAGAAATTTCCGGCCAAGTAGCATGGGCCTTTTGAAGATATTATAAATCTTTTTACAAATAGCCTCTTCCTCCTCAGAATGTTTGAGTCCACAAGGGCTTTGATTGAGAAGGATTCAGGGACAACCTTTTGCTATCCAGTGTCAATGTTTATTGTTGTTTTACTTTATGGCTAGGCCAATGCCAGTAAGCCAGGCTCTTTTCATGTCTATGACAATTTCTTTGTTCCCTTAAGGTTTCTATTATCTCATATCTCCCCTCGCTCCTTCTACCCATCACCATTCCATCCATTCCATCTGTCAGCCTGAAAAGTCATTCTGGTTATTGAACAAACTATTAGATGTTGCTGACTGAAGATTTTTTTTTATTTAGTAAGCAAACTGTAATTAGTTTTAAATTAGTGGCCAACATTTGAACATGAGAAATTTCATATAAAAATACAGATTTCTGTTTCCTCTAGAAAAATATGAAGAAAAGCAACTTGGGGGTACATTCCTATGTAGCAACATGCCTCTGGAGTTGAAAGTTTCAAGTCTTCTTTCAATGGGAACAGGTAGTCTCTGATTTTCTTCAGATTGTTCTTTTAACTGACTGGTCCTCACAGGCATTTTAGTTTTTGAAATCTATTATTTACATTTGAATCCCAAATATATTCCTATTTAAGTTGTTTGTCTAGCTGTATCCCATAAAATATCAGGTAAGACATTTATATCCTGTAGTGAAAGAGGCTTGTCCTTTAACTTATACAATATATAGCCAAATCCAGTCTCTGACACACAAATACTATTGAGAATTTATAAAAGTCATGACAATAGCATTTAATTATGATGATCATTATATGACAGAATTTATTATCACAGGAATAGACACTTTCTGGTTTAAATTATATGTATAAAATATTGCTTTGATGTTCTTATTGGTGCAATGAGCCTCAAGAGTTTCTTACTAACAATATTCAGCATCAGTTGTTCTTTAGCTTTCATAGTGCAGCATGTAAACTTTTAAATGAAAACACATTTTGTTGTTAATGTTGCAACACAAGAAAATAGATAAGCAAAGAAAAACAGTAGGGATCTAAAAGAAAACCAACTAAAAAGCCAAAAGCGCATACATAGATGTTGATTTTAGCAATGAATTCATCAGTGGCTCATGTATTATTCAAGAAAGATTACATAAATACCTCAATGTCAGGTTATGTTGCAGTTTTGCATGAGGCTGAGGAGAGTCACTAACACCATTGTAGGAAAGGGATTCTAGAAGTGAAGCTGAAGACTTTATGAAATTGATTTGATCTATTATTTTGGAAAAATATTCTTGCACTGAGGGATATATTTTACCAGATGGTTTCTAATACCCATTTTAACTTGAGATAAAATTTGGTTTAGGAATTATGATTATACTGTGAATGCACAAATTATTCAAATGGATATGTTTGATCATGTGCATGTATATATAGACTGTATATACATATGTATGTGTATATACACATTTAACAAAATACAAATTCATTTCAGGATAATCTATTATTGGAAAGATTTTAATGACTAATTCCCTTATCAATATGAATAAGTTAGAGAACACCCCATCCATAATTCAGAATATATAATTCACTATATATTGTGAATATAATTCACTATATTTATAACATACTTATAAGATGCAGGAATCTTCTTCTTTTTAGAATATTAGCACCCCCTCTTATTCATTGTTCCTTATTGTGTAAAGTAGTGGCTTCTTTAAACTCTAATTCCATACTGTATAATCCTATTGCCCTAAACCATGGCTTCATAATGATTATTCCCAGGATTATTTAAACACACTGTTTGGGGAGCATTTTTACACATCTTTGGATAGGCGTTATTCCAGAATATCTTTTCAAATACGCTGGAAAGATAGAGATAGAATTTCCCTCCAGGGAAAAATGGAAGATTTGTTTCCTGACCAGCATAATAAAAATAATGTCTCCCCTGGGCAAAGGTTGGACAAGTTTGCTAATAGTCCCCATAAGGTTGGGTGCTACCTAAGCTTGCAGTTCCTCAGATGTATCACATATCCATTGAGTGAGTACTGTCTACCTTGCCTGCTAGGAATCACCCCCTGCAGGACTTGGGGAATGGAGGACAAGGACATGATGGAAACATGAAGCTCTTGCCACCTACTGTACCATGAGTAATAGTCTTTTGTCTTTGACCCAAGGGTCTAATGGCTTCTGACAGCATCTATAAAACTGTGACAGGCTAACCTGTCTTGAAAGTAAGATAAAGCCTCAGGCCCTTCAGTTTTTGACACAAACAAAAGATAATATGTGATGGTGAAGACAATTAAATGGCTTTTCTAGGATTGTCAGAACATACATTGTTCCTAGCAGCAAAACTAAAATGGCAATTGCTCTAAGAATGACAAAACTATATTTTCAGGCACATTTTACAAAGTATTTCACAACAAACCCATTTCTGATAGCTTTCCAACTGATAGTGTTTCTCTTTCCTTTGATCTCCTATAATGTTCTTATTTTCTCTACTTGGACTACAATGATTTGTGTACTTCAGTGTAGCTCTCTTATTAGACTATACATTACAGAGGATAAGGCAGTGGCATTCCTGTTTCTCCACCAATGCCTACCTGGTACAATGCCTTAAACAGTCTCTGCTTATTCAACGTCTGTTGCTTGGCTTGTTATCAATATAACTTTATCAGATTCTTAGTAAAGTCAATCCACTAAAGGAGCTTACAGTAAGTTTGAGACATCAGATTCATTGACATGAAAACGCTGTAACAAGTGTCAAATGAATGAAACAAGCAAAATTTTCTAGTTTAATAAAGAAGGAAATACTTTAGCGATCTAAATCTTTGAAAGACTGATAGGATTTCTGAAGACAGATAAAAAGATGTTGAACAGATCACTCTGGATAGATGGTAGGGAGACAGGCAAAATATTAATTATGAGCACTCATCAC